GGGAAAGGTATGTCTATCAAAGAGATCGGCGTGCGAAGGAATTTGTTAAATTTTAACCATGTTTTGGATATGAACCGTGTGATTGAGGATGGCCCTTGGCTTTTTGAGTGTGATTTAATTCTGTTGAAAGTGGTTCAGCCAGATGATATACCTGAATCGATGAATTTATTTGAGGCTAGCTTTTGGGTACAGGTTCATAATGCCCCTATAAAATATAGAAATTTGAGATCTGCCAGGAAAATAAGTAATTTTTTGGGATCTTTCATTAAGTTTGAGATGAGCCAGTTTGATGGAAGGCAGAGTTCTTACCTTCACATTAGGGTGTGTCTGGGTGTGCGCCAACCTTTGAAGAAAGGTACCACTTTGACACAAGATGGGGTGAAGCATTGGGTTGATTTTAAATACGAAAAGCTCCCTAGCTTTTGTTTTATTTGCGGTATAATAGGACATTCTGATAAATTCTGTCCAATGAAATCAGAGAGGGCTTTGTAGCTAAAAAAACCTATGGGGTGGGACTTAGAGCAGGAGGAAGGGCGAAGATTAGCCTGATAGGAGATAATAAATGCTTATCTGATGGAGCCTCTAGCTCATATGGGTATGGAGTGCAGCGGAAGGCTGATCTCGGGGGAGAGTTTTCGGTAGAGTCCAAGTTTAGTAGGCAACACAAAATGAAAAGGAGGACAAGGAGGAGACTCCTGGAGATACAAAACACAGAAGGATATGGGATAATCAATCCAAAGAGGATATCGTTGGTAAAGGAATGGCTCAGAAGGGGTCAAAAAATGGGGAAGCGGTGGGTCAAGCCTCTTAGACCCGCCGTGTTTTCATATGCTGGTGGTGGTGAAGAAATCAAGTGATGGTGCTATTTTTATTGTCTGTTTTGTTTACTTTTATTTCGGATGCTATGTTCTGTTTTCTTTTCGTGTTCTGGTTTCTTGTAAGACTCTTGCATTAGGTTGGGGGGAAAGAAAGTCTGCTTTAACCGTCATTGGCTTTAAGTTGCCCAATTTTGGTCTAGCGAGTTATACACTTATACTGCTTTATTACAGGTGGTTAACTCTCAGTCTCGGCCACGGGCGGATGGTTATATGTGGTTCTTTTCTAGTTTTGTACCCTTGCTGAATGTTATTTCTATGAATTAAGCCCTCTTCGAGCAAAAAATATATTTAATTATTTAATTTAATACACTATAATTTGTGTGAAACGACCCACAAGTTACAGTTACCCGACCTGATTAATTACAGTTACTTAATCCGATGGTGAACACACCGATCACCACCGCCGGTCACTGCATCCGGCCACAGCCACCGACCACATCCGGTCATTGACAAAAATTATTAGTGACCAAAAATTCTTTAGTGACAAAAATTATTAGTGATTAAAAATCCGAAAACCTTCAGTGACAAAAATTATTAGTGACCAAAAATCCAAAATCGGCCAGTGACCAAAATTATTAATGACCAAAAATTTCATCAAGTTACCAATCCCGCCCAACCAGTGACCAACGCCCGTTCGTTCAGTTACCAACATCAGCCTGTCAAGTGACCAATGTTCGCATGTCCAGTTACAGTTATCCAACTCGTCAAGTTATAGTTACCTGACCCGCACAGTTACAGTTACCTGACCCGCACAGTTACAGTTACATGACCCATCCAGTGACCAATGCGTTGTCTTTACTATGCCCACCAGACCCGCTACAGTGACCAATGCGTTATAGTGACCTATGTAACCAATGCATTACAGTGACCTATGTCATAGTAACTATATTCCTAGTGACCGTTGACACAGTGACCAATGCCACAGTTACCAACACTTAGTGACCCAGCTCCAGTGACATCCCGACTATAGTGGCACCCGGCCCCAGACCACCCCGATCTCAGTGACCAACCCAACCCTAGTGACCAACCCAATAGTGACATCCCATCAATGACAACAGCCACCTCGCCAATGCTCCTGACCAGTACCATGTTATTGCAATCAGCAACCATTACCCCCGCTGCCATTGAGCGGTACCTCATCCCTACCACACATCAATGATCAGTACCTTCCCCCGTCACGAGTGACCAGTCCCCGCCCGGTTACAGTTACTACAACATATCAATTACACTTACTAGATTCATTAATAACCACCGATGGCCACTACAGCCGACCTCACAACCACTGTCGGCCACCTCCATCAACCGCCGCCACCAGTGACTCAGCGCAGCCCTACACTGCTCAGCTGCCACCTCGGTGCCACCCCTCTGCTCGCCTCTCCTGGAACCAGCCTCTCCCGCCTCCGTGGTAATGATAGTCGCCGCTCCGGCAATGACAGCCTTCACCCATCGGTGACTTCCCCTAGCCCCGTTGCACCCCCAATCCCGCTTTCTAGTTTCTCCCTGCCCCATCAACCTCCAGAAATCTCATATCCAACATTGCCTTGCTTTACCCTTGCCTCAACCGCCCAGATCCGGTCATTGCCGCAACCCTACCGCCGATATACTGCAGCAATAACTCAGCCGCTGCCCAAATCCAGTCACCTCGCCCTCAGCTAGATGGAATTGTCGACCCCCAATCCTCTTCATCCGCCGCCACAACTAGAAATCGCATCCCAATTTCCATCACAATTGCCGGTTAGAAAAAAGAGAAAAAGGAGATGAACGGCAGAAATTGCAGGCGATTGTGAGCAGGGAACAAGGAGAGAGATCGGCTAAGGTGATGGTGGGAGGTGGACAGCCGGCGTGAATCGTGCGGTGGCGCGGCGCAGGTCGTGGGAGGCGCAGGTCGTGGGAGGCACAGGTCGTGGGCGGCGAAGTGAACCATCGATGGAAGCTTGAAGGTGCGTGAGGTGAGATTATGGTTTGATAGGAGATTTTATATTCAAGGGTGTTTGGGTCTGTTCATTTAAAAATAGTCTCTTTTTTGTCCATATCATAAAGTGGTCTTCTTTCTGTCTTCTGAAACCTAATTCGTACTATATCCGTCATTCTTTCATATTTCAATCATTCACAACTTGTATCGATATTATTCAGCATGCATCGTAGTCGATAGTAAGTTATCTTTGTTTATAAAATTCCCGAATTTAAGGGATCCGCTGTAATATAAAATAGTAGATCCATGAACAAATCCAACTATTTATTTTCCAATATATGTGAAGCTCCTTACATTACTTAAGATACAGCACACTAACATTTTATTATCAACCCAACCTTTTACTTCTTGTTTTATAAACTGTTTGCTTCGGTTCTTCTTTTATGGGAGACCGCCAGAAAACTTGTTTTATACATATATCAAAACTCTGCTGGGTTACATACTAAACTTTCGATCCTCGTAGTTCAGTGTCCGGCGACTCTCCGCCAAAGGGCTTGTTATATCCTGGGGAAAGATTTCCGGACCGCCCGCCGTAAATACTTTCTGAGGACAGCATTTACGCGTCTCGAGCCATTGTGTTTCTTGTTATTTTATTTGCAGGTACTTTTATGAACTCATAATAATGAGGGTATTTAACTACGACAATAGACCAGCTGAAAATGACAAGGATAGAATCGGCTTTCGAAGGAGAGCACATGCAAGAGGGCGACAACGAGGCTGGACTTGCCATTGGAAGTTACTAGAGAGGAAGAAAGAAAAGAGACACTTTGTTGGAAGACATCGGTCATTGTGGATGACGAGAATAATTTCCCCAACAAATCTAACTCTTCTATGATTACCTTAATACCTTCCCAACATGAGTGAAAGGGTATTATGATTGTGAAGAAGCACTAATGAAAGATTGCTGCTTTGCAACTCTAAGGCAGAACCATAGCTCCCCTGCGCAACACGCAAAGACGGACACTTTTTAACGGAAGATGTCAAGGGCATTTTAGGAATTATAAAATACTACTACGTACTCCCTCCGTCCCCTTTTCAATGTCCCGTTTAACCATATTAGATATCCCTAGCTATTTAATTGTCTCATACCTTATTTGGTAAAGTTTGTGTGGCTCAAAATCATTCTTACTTTATCAATTAATATCAACCACCACACAAACCCACTTTTCTTAAAACTCGTGTCACCCTCTTTCGTCCCATTATAAAAAGGACGGAGGTAGTATTATTTATGGTGGCTGTATTTAGTAAATGAGTGGTTGTGTATAGAATTGTCCCTCATTTTTTAATCAAATGTGATACACAATATCATTTATACCTTTACACATTTTCGTGTTGATTAAATATTTACGGATCTACCACCACTTTTACTTGATGTTTGCACATTTAATTGACCAAAGTTTTAAAAGTTTTAAAGTTGATCGAGCCTTAGATTATGGGCTCGTTCGGTAGTTTACATGTTAAATCTTTACACGCGAAATGATTAAATGCAAAGTTTAGAGAAGCAATCACTTTGCATTTAAAATATACTACCTCCGTCCCATATTAAACTTCCAATTGCGGGTTACGAAGTTTGACCAGCGATAAAGTTAAATGATTCCTGTGAAAATTCCGATTATTTTTAGTAAATAAAATTTACATATTCAGAAACTACATTAAACCCGCTACAAAGCCTCCAAAAAATAATTCAATTTTTATAACATTTTGATATATAAAGTAGGAGTTTAAGTGTGATTTGAGTTGACTCTCGAAAAGCGAAATGGAAGTTTATTTAGGGACGTAGGGAGTATTACATTGTTTGGCTAGATGTGTAATTTATTTTTAATTTGCGTGCAAATATTGCTGTGCTTTATAAAAAGCATGCAAAGTATTTTATCACCCCCCACGTAAAATACATGATGCAGTGTGAAATGTTTAACATTAAAAAGTGTTCTACATTTTACATTAAATAATCAAACCAAACTGTGTAATCGCCTGCAAATATATCCTACCAAACACGCTCTATATGTGAACTAATTTGGCAAAGTAGACAATTAAGAGTAAAGTTAAATTTCACATTTTTCGCGTGGAACTTTAATTCTTTTCAATCATCATATATTACGTACGTATGTAGTCTATATATATACACTCTCAAGGTGTCTTCACTCTTCATTCGTAAATATAATGAAGGTTCCCATTTCTTGAAAAAACAAATTCATCGCAATTGAAGTTAAGAAATGAAAATTTGAAGTTTTTGATCATTCATCAGCTAAAGCTTCTCTTTCCCGGGTACGTATGGCACATAGTAAATTTCTCTACTTGTTTTTGTATGTTAAATTTTTTTGATACTCCAGAATTCGAACTAAAATGGGACAGGAGGGCGTCTGGGTATTTGTTTATTAAGCTAACTAATTAATGTCTCTGTGATTCTTAACAATTTAAAATATCCATCATAATTATTACGTGACCCGGTTTGAAATGTTGTTTTTTAAGGTGTTTTAATATGTTGTAATATCCTCCAAAAGTAATTACTGAAACTTGTAAAATTTGGTCAATGTTTATGTCTATGATTCTAAATTACTTGTAGCTTTTTGGCGTGGAAGATCATCATATGACACGAAAAACTGGTAATTGACCTAGAAAGAGCACATAAAATACGCTAATATAGCTATATACTATCTATATACTAAAAAAACTATGAGCCCATTTGGTAGCACGAAAATCGGCTGTTTTGGCTGATTCTGCTGAAATTTATGAAATTCTGGCTGAAGTGGCTGTTTTGGCTGATTCTGCTGATTCAAGAAAAAAATATTTTAAATATATATTTTATTAAGAAATTATAGAAAAAATTACATGTAAAAATAGCTAAAATAGTCCTCTGCAGTAACTTCAGCCAATACAGCCAGAAAAGTAACTTCAACCTTACTTTTTCTGCTTATTACACAATTTAGCACACAAAAGTAAAAGTTACGTGTTTGGTGAAAAAGCTGGCTGATAAGCCTGATAAGCCGAAAAAAGAGGTCTCCAAACGGGCTCTATATATACTAATAAATTACTTTAAATGAATTGATAGACAAACTTTGAAGAGCGTACGTTTTGGAATGACTTTTTCTGTAAATTCTGTAATTATATTTCAAAAACAAGTGTATCCTTATTTTCAAACTCCAAATTTTATCTTCATCGTCTTAAAACTGCGGGCTTGGGATAAAATGATGAAATATTAAAATGACACTTTTACTAGAGTATAAAGTACTCTTTGCTTTGCATACTCGGTAATTTTCAATCAAGTCTCTTTACAGTTCTGAAAAGTATTAAACCATCCGGAATCAATGCTCCGTCAATGAACTCAAATTTCTACTTTAATTTATCTACAGAAAACGGTTTATTTACTCAGTCAATTAATGCGTTACAGTTTTTTCAAACAACGAAGCAATCGTCAACTCAAGCAATATTCACTAGGCCTCAAGCAATATTCACTAGGCCTGAAGCAATATTCACTAGGCCTCTAGGTAATGTTACCACAATCCCCCCCCCCCCCCCCAATTAAGGATTATATTGTTTAATTTATTAGTTTCTTTTGACTATTATGTGTACATTATTTGGAGTTTTTTCCCAGGGAAGGGTACTTTCTAATCTTATTTATCAAAATAGGGTAGTTTCAAACTTATTTCCCAAACAAAAGTATTTTTGCCCTGTCATCGTGTCATGTTGATAGGACCGAAATCAGTGATGACGTGGCACAAAGGAAGTCAACTCGGCCCAAGTGTCCAAATAGAAAGTATTTGGAATCATTTAATTCTTTCATTTTAATTTCTGCAAATAAGAGGAGTCCATGTTCAGGCCATTTCCTCCACTTCCAGCTTATCCGTTTTGTAAGGAGTACTACTCCATGTTCTGTATGTAGTGCTTCTGTTTTGTAGGAACCCATGTTTTTTATCTCTTATATAAAACACCAAAAATAGGTAGTCTAAACTACCAAAAAAACCAGTGTTCTTGTGCTACGTAGGAATGCTCCTACACCTGTGAGAAGGGACCTCATTAATTGGTATCAGAGCCCTTGTCTCAAACAGGGACGGTATTCATCGCGAATCAACGTCCAACAACAACCTAAGCTCACTATTACTGTGAGCAGACCCCAACCTTCATCATTCCGCCCAGAAAAACCAAGAACTCCAACAAAACTTGGGGTGTGGCCCCAGACCCTAGGGACGAGTCCATGACTACTAACAAAGAGAGGTTGGATGATATGGAAGCGGGTCTCGGGATGCTGCAGGACGAGCTTCAGCGACTAACCACGGAAATCAACGAAAGGCTCTGTGGTGTGGAGCTCTCGTTCCAGAAAGCACTCGAAGAATCCCTGGATCAGGTGAAGGAGATGGTGTCGAAGAGCCATGAGAGCGGGTCGAACGCGCAGAGGAGGAGTCGGGGACAAAAAAACCATCATCACTCGGTCCATCGAGGGGGGGAAGACAACCCATTTGCGGCCCCTTTTGTTCCACACATCCATCGTGTGAAACTGGAATTCAATTCCCAAAATTCCATGGAGGAGATCCCACAGAATGGATGAGTAAGGCCAAGCAGTATTTTGCATATCATGAGATGCCAAAAGAACAACGAGTTAGCTTTGCATCCTATCACCTGACTGAGGAGGCCAACGAATGGAGGCAGGCAGTTTCCAAGGCACGTGGAATTGACCCATTTAGGATTCCATAGGAAACGTTTGAGACCGTTATGGACCCAGTTTGGCCCAATAGACGATGAGAACTTTGACGAAGCATTATCACACATCCTTCAAAAGGGTTCCCTGATCGATTACCAAAGAGAATTTGAGCGGTTACAAAACAAGGTGGAAGGGTGGACTGAGAAAGCTTTGGTAGGTGCGTTTATGGGAGGCCTTAACACCAACATTTCTAACGCTATTCGAATATTCAAACCGAAAACTTCAACAGAGATTATTAATTTCGTGCGGCTGCGAGATGATCAGTTGCAAAAAGAGAAGAGATGGGGTGCTATACGGGACACCCAGGCAGACTCCTCTGAAACAATTGGGAACCCACGGTCTGCTCTTGCAAATCCTCCATCACCAGGGGGACGACAGACCTCAGCACCACGCAAACTGAGTTGGGATAACCTTAAAAAGAAACGTAGTTTGGGGCTATGTTTCAGCTGCGATGAACGTTTTGTTCCAGGCCACAAGTGTAAGCAACTGCAGGTCTTTGTCATGGAAAGTGAGCAAGACAGCGACGAGAATGACGGAGAGTCACCTGAAGAAGCTGATAGGTTACCCGAGATCACCCTACACGCTTTAACTGGTTGGGATACTCCTACCACCATGAGGCTCCGTACTGATATAGGCTGCCACCAGTTGATCGCCTTGGTAGACAGTGGGTCAACCCACAATTTCATAAATGAGAAGGCAGCCCAACAATTCCGTTTGAAGAAGACGCCAATCTCGCCCTTCAGGGTGCGGGTCGCCAATGGGGCACCATTGGAATGTGGGGGTAAGTACGACCAGGTGTCGGTGCACATTTGTAAGACCACCTTCAGACTGACATTTCCTGTGCTTCCGTTAGTCGGACTGGACCTAGTCTTAGGGGTCCAATGGCTGGGATCGCTAGGGCCAGTGACATGTGACTGGAAAGCCCGAACCATGCAAATTGAGTGGGGCGGAGAGAGACACACTCTTCATGGGATGCAACCAACACGCATCCGGGCCACCAATTCAATAGGAATTGGCAAAGAGGCCCGACGGGGACACGCCTTGTACGCCATCTGCGTCTCAGATCATAAGGACGCTCTATCAACAATTACAGAGGACTTATGAGAGCTGATAGTGGAGTTTGACGAGTTATTCAAACCCTTATCAGGCCTACCCCCCATCCTGACATTGATCATCGGATAACACTCAAAGAGGGCACTGATCTAGTCAATGTACGACCATATCGCTATGCCTACTTTCAGAAGGCGGAGATCGAGAAACAGGTCCATGAGATGCTCCAACCAGGAATTATTCGCCCAAGCTCCAGCACTTTCTCATCACCCGTCCTTTTGGTAAAAAAGAAAGACGGATCCTGGCATTTTTGTACAGATTATCGCGCCCTCAATGCCGCTACTATCAAGGACAGATTTCCAATTCTGACTGTTGAGGATATGCTTGATGAATTACACGGAGCAGCATATTTCACCAAGCTCGACCTCACTGCAGGATATCATCAGGTGCGCATCCATCCTACCGACATTGCCAAAACGGCATTTCGGACGCATAATGGGCACTACGAGTATTTGGTCATGCCGTTTGGGCTCTGCAATGCCCCCTCTACTTTCCAGGCACTCCTGAACTCAGTATTTCACCCCCTTTTGCACAAATCAGTTTTCGTATTCTTTGACGACATCCTCGTCTACAGTCCGGATTGGGAGACACATTTACAACATGTACGGGAGGTGTTTACTATTCTAAAAGGGTAATCAACTCTCTGTCAAATTCAAGAAGTGTGATTTCGGGAAGCAGGAGCTAGAGTATTTGGGACACATCATCACAAACAGAGGCGTCAACGTAGATCACCTCAAGGTTAAGGCTATGCTTGACTGGCCGGTTCCTATAACGATTACCGAGTTGCGGGGGTTCTTGGGCTTGACTGATTATTACCGGAAGTTTGTCAAAGACTACGGCATCATAGCCCGACCACTTACCAACTGTTTGCGAAAGGGACAATTCAGGTGGGATTCAGCGGCAGAGCATGCCTTCAACGCGCTGAAGAAAGCAATGACAACAACTCCTACTTTGACCCTACTAGGTTTTTCAAAACCCTTTGTCATCCAAATAGATGCCTCCGAAAAAGGAATTGTAGTGATTCTGTCCCAAAATGACCAACCTATTGCATTTATGAGTTGATCATTGGGCATCGAGAAGAGGAACTGATCAACTTATGCACGGGAGATGTTGGCCATAGTCGTTGCTATCTGCACTTGGAGACCATATGTACTCGGGGCGACAGTTCACTATACAAACTGATCAACGCAGTATTCGGTACTTGCTTAAACAGCGGATACTCACCCCGGAACAGCAGAAATGGATGGGAAAATTGGTGGGTTATGACTATGAGTTAGTCTACAAACCTAGAAAAGGAAACACCGCTGCCGATGCCTTATCACTTGTTCTGGACAGCCTAATTAATACTATTTTCGTCCCAACCGTCTCTATCTGGACAGAACTCAGACAGTTAGCCAAGACAGATCCGTATCTGGTGCGAGTTGGGAAAGAAGCAACCACAAACCCTGGGAGACCATATGCTTGGAGGGACGGGTTAAAATGCTACAAAAATCGTATTGTGATACCTCCACAGTCTTCTCTCATTGCCCAACTCCTCCATGAGCACCACGATACCCCTATGAGCGGTCATTCAGGTGTGTTACGCACTTTCAAAAGGTTGTCTCGCCAATTTTATTGTCCAGCAATGCATAAGCAAATCACTGAGTACATCTCCCAGTGTGACGTTTGTCAATGGGCAAAGGCTCAAATCTTGGCCCCAACAGGCCTTCTCCAACCATTACCAATCCCAGATAAGGTCTGGGAAGAAATTTCCATGGATTTCGTGGATGGTTTACCCCGCTCGGGCACTCATACTTCAATTCTAGTGGTGGTGGACCGCCTTAGCAAATCAGCACATCTATTTCCCCTCACTCATCCTTACACTGCTTCTCAAGTTGCTAAGAGATTTATGGACTCAATCGTTCGCCTTCACGGTATTCCTCGGTCAATTCTCAGTGACCGTGACCCAATTTTCTTGAACAACTTCTGGATAGAGCTTTGGGCTGCCACATATACTACCTTGCGTCTATCGTCAGCCTATCACCCGCAAACCAATGGGCAAACGGAGGTTGTCAACCGATGTATTGAGCAGTTCCTCCGCTGTTTCAGCCAATACAGACCCAAGCAATGGAGCAGTTTGCTTCCATGGGCAGAATATTGGTATATCACCACGTTCCATTCATCCATTGGCATGTCCTCATTCGAAGCCTTGTATGGGTAACCGCCGCCATTGCTGCCACGGTATGAGCTTGGTTCCTCTATGGTGGAAGATGTGGATGAGCAATTAAGGAACCAGGACGAAGAGATCACTGAATTGAAACAACATTTGCAGGCAACAAACAATCGTATGAAACAGCTTGCAGATCGTAAGAGGAGGGATGTTGAATTCCACGTAGGGGATTGGGTATTCCTTCACTTACATCCGTATCGCCAAAAGTCAGTATTCAAACGTTCATCCCAGAAGCTAGCTAATCGGTTTTTTGGGCCATTTCAAATCCAGAAACGCATTGGACAAGTGGCGTATCGTTTACAACTACCCGCAGACTCCAGAATTCACCCGGTGTTCCACGTCTCAAACCTAATTGCTTGCTCCAATTACAGCCAGAAGAGGTTATCACCACGAGACAGATTCAGCATGGGGCCGACCATGTTACCGAAGTCTTAGTTAAATGGAAGTAGCTGCCAAGGGAAGACACTACTTAGGAAGATTACAATCAGATAACAACAAGCTTTCCACATTTTGAGCTGAACCTTGAGGGCAAGGTTCTTTTGTACCGCCGGAGTATTGATAGGACCGAAATTTGTGATGACGTGGCACAATGGAAGTCAACTCGGCCTGTGTCCAAATAGAAAGTATTTTGATTAAATCATTTAATTCTTTCATTTTAATTTCGGCAAATAAGAGGAGTCCATGTTCTGGCCATTTCCTCCACTTCCAGCTTATCCGTTTTGTAAGGAGTACTACTCCATGTTCTGTACGTAGTGCTCCAGTTTTGTAGGAACCCATGTTTTTTATCTCTTATGTATTCTCCTATTTATATTAATGAAAAACACCAAAAATAGGTAGTCTAAACTACCAATAATAGGAATGCTCCTGCACCTGTGAGAAGGGACCTCATCACATGTGAGCGCCCGAATTGAACTCAATTTCCAGGTCATTTACTTGCCACATCATACGTCCACATCATCTCATGTACATGTCTATTTAAAATAACAAAAAGATGAGCCTCATGGGATTCGAAACCAGGCCATCCCTTTAGGAATCCGTACCTAACACCACTGCACCAATCATAAAACTTGACGTAGGCTTATATTTAATTATACTTAATTCTAAATTCACCAGGCATGTTTAATGAAAGTTTCGAATTAAATGCTCCTCCATATTAAACTGGTATTATTATTGCTTAGTACTCCGTATTATTTATTATTATGATTATGATTATTATTATTATTAATAATATTATGATTATAACTATTGTTGTTGTTGTTGTTATTATTATTATTATTATTATTATTATTATTATTATTATTATTATTATTATTATTATTATTATTATTATTATTATTATTATTATTATTATTATTATTATTATTATTATTATTATTATTATTATTATTATTGTTATTGTTATTGTTATTGTTATTGTTATTGTTGTTGTTGTTGTTGTTGTTGTTGTTGTTGTTGTTGTTGTTGTTGTTGTTGTTGTTGTTGTTGTTATCATTATTCTTATTATTAATATTGTTATTATTGTTTATTATTATTATTATTGTTATTGTTGTTGTTATTCTTGTTATAGCAACAATAATAATAGCAAAAACAACAACAACAACAACAACAAGAATAATAATAAGAATAATAATAATGACAACAACAATCATAATATATATAATAATAATCATAATAACAATCATAGCAATAATAAATAATAATACCGGAGTAATATGGTGGAGCGTTTAATTCTAAACTTTGACTAAACATGCGAGGCGAATTTAGAATACAAGTATAATTAAATATAAGACTATAACAAGAATCAAGATTGGTGCAGTGGTGTTAGCTATAGATTGCCAAAGGAATGGCCTGGGTTAGAATCCCATGTGGCTCATCTTTTTGTTATTCTAAAAAAGACATGTATATGTGATGATGTGGCAAGCAAATGACCTGGAAATTGAGTTCAATTCGGGCGCTGACATGGCACGATGACAAGGCAAAAATACCCCTATTTGGGAATTAAGTTTGAAACTACCTTACTTTGGGAAATAAGATTAGAAAGTACCCCTCTCCGGAAAATAAGGTGTTTGGAACTGATTCTGCTTCTACTTCTTTTTTAAAGCAGAATCAGAATCAGTTTTCAGAAGCTGGTCACCCCCAACTTCTAAAAAAACTGATTTTAGGAGTAAGGGGGTGTTTGGAACTAATTCTGCTTCTACTTCTATTTTAAAACAGAAGCAGAATCAGAATCAGTTTTCAGAAGCTGGTCTCCCCCAACTTCTAAAAAAACTGATTCTTGGAGTAAATTAGAGCTCCAGAATCACTTTTGCACTTTTACCCAAACACTCCAACTTCTGCTCCCTAAATTTGAGTACCAGAATCACTTCTGCACATTCACCCAAACACTTCAGCTTCTGCTTCTGCTCCCTAGTTTTAAGAATCAGATCCAAACACCCGCTAACTCACATTATTTTATTTGATGTAATAAATGAATGAATTCTGTGTAACATATCATGAAGAACATATTTCTATGTGTATATGTTATCATCTAATATGTTAGTTTTTGATTACATAACAATAAAAGTTCACAACATATTAATACTCTAAAAGTGAAAATCAATCCTCAATTTTGGAACAAAGGCAGTATATATATATAGTATGATGACAAAAAAATGGTTATTCCTTATCTTATACGAGTATTAAAATGATGATTTCTTTAATTACACTGAAATGTGGATGTGAGATGCAATAAATAACCACAGAAAAATATGGATTAAAATGATCACTAATATATAGCTTTATGGTTCATGCAGTTTCTGGTTGCTTACAATCTTGCGATGACTCGTATTGTAACATATGCTTATGGATCAATCTTTCTTGTGACAAGCTTACTATCATGGGCCGCTCGCGATTTTGGTTATACTACTTTGAAAGCAATGAAATGTAAGGATGCTAGCTTCTTGAATAATTAATCTGGCTAGCCAAGGTTTTTTATTTTTTTTCAAAGTATTGTACTTCTCTACTTTTGTCTTTATCTTTATTATAGAAGTGTGAGTACCTCTAAAAAACGGGATATTATTAATTTATAATATGACTAGAAAGATGAGTAATTAATATTATTACAAGCCCACATGGAAATCTCAATTGGTCATAGGGATGAAAATTTAGAACGATGACCCAAGATCAAATCACGTTGACTACCTCTCAAAGTGAAGGGGGCTCCTTGTGCGCAGTGGGCACATGTCCTACCCTGTATATTTTGTTGAGTTATCATGACTCACTATCCTCATATGCTCTACCGGGCCCTTTGGGTTGGGCATAAGTAATCACTAACATAAGTAATAGGATAATTCTATTCACACTTACAAAATTGCTAATTACAGCCTCTAACCATTTGAAATATCTATTTTACTCTTAAATCCATCTACTCGTCACTCTCCTGTGAAAATCGCCGTTTTCTAATTTTGACCTGCTCACGAAAAGGATTCATCAAGGCACACATGGATAGTCTTGCCAACTTAGCCACACAGAGAGTTCCGATCTAATGAAGATGGATCGTTGTTTCATCCCCTTCGCATCCTCCAAACAACCTACTCCCTCTGTCCCTGATTGTTGTTCCAAATTAAAGTGACACGGTGATTAAGAAAGTGAGAATTGTTTGGTGGAGAGTTGTGCAGAGGAGAGACAAATGCTGTGAACCACAAATTATTTACCAAAAAGGAAAGTGAAGTTCTTTTTGGGACGGACGAAAAGGGAAAGTTGGAACTAAATTCAGGGACGGAGGGAGTATATGTTTTCTCCAAGAAGATTGTTTCACCGTTCTAAGCTTGTCTTCGTCGAAGTTCTCACGGAAGTACTCGTCAGCAGTGTTTCACCGTCGATGTTCATGGTCATGTATAATTGAATCAGGGTGCGTAGCTGCAGTCATCAATTTTGTTCTTCTACTTCATAAATGTATCGAATAAAGTTCTCGATCGATCTAGATTGTTTCAAACAAGAGAGGAATGACCCTAATTTCTAATCTTCGTCATTTATAATTTCTTGCTACTCCCACCTCTTTGTTCTTTCTCCATATTTAATTTTATCTCGGTTTGTATTGTTCAATTGATGTATTCTAGCAATTCAATAAGTTGATATTCAACTTCTGTAATGAAGTTAAAACAAGATACAATTGGGATAAACATGGCGTCATTTCCCACCGGCGCTGTCCGAATTAAATCTGTCGCGATGGGGATGGAGGTGTGCTTAATTTCGGAGCTATTGTTCATCTTTATTGGCAAACATATAAAACTCCAATAGTTTCGACTTGCTAGAAAGACAAACAAATCGGATACGCAGATCTCTGTTCACGTTGTCCGGCAGCTGTATTCCTATGGAGCATCTTTCAAAATAGAATAACTTAAATTTTAAAAGGGTAAATTTGGAAACGTATTTGAACGGTGGCTGTATTTAGAAAAATGGGGACTGCATTTAGAATTTCCCTAAGTAATATTAGTAACATCGTAGTCGTGGCCTGGACTCCTGGAGATTGTACTAAAGTTGATTCTAATTTCTATAGATAAATTTTCCAAATTGAGAATAAAATAAGGATAAAGTTCATAAATAAAACTATCGTTGTTTAATTTTCAATATAGGACTCATTCCCCATATTTTGGGATGTTTTAATCAACTTATTCTTTTACTACGTAATAATTAAGACTACATAAATCCGATCATATTTTAGAACATTAATATCTATCTTTTGATCCTTTTTTAAACGTTATTTTTACTTCTTTGTTTTAGTCTTATTGTAAGAAAATTTCTCTTGATTCTAACTCAATGTATATGCTAATAATTTGGTTTTAGGGCTAAGAGGCTGCAATGGAGAGGAAGTTTGTTTGGGTGCACAAGGCGCCTTGAGAGTGAGTTTGGGGTGTTTCGTATCCTTTTTAACATACATATTACATATATAAATCTTTTAAATTTTTAATATCTTGATGAGCCACAGACAAATTAAGAAATCCTCGACTTACTATTGCCAAAATTTTATTAAAAGTGAGTACACATTATTTTTAGAGAAAAGAAAGTTATTTATTAATGATGCAAGTAACCGGTTTCAAGCAATTAGATAAATTAATTTTACAAACTTACCATAAAATGAGACATAAATCTGAAAAATTTTATAGAAACGTCATAATTCGCTAATTACCTCGTAAAGACGTACTCTTTTATCAGTAATTTTGAGGGCACCTAAAATATAGGAAAATTATCCTAAATAGAAATTAAAACGTTTGTATATTTCAAAACAGGACTATCATATTTTTATTGAAATTATCATTGTCATGTTTTGGCAGTACCAGAGTTTAAACATGACAATATATTTCCAGTAATTAGATAATTTTGGCAGTAATTACTCTATTTTGGGAATAAAAATATGACAGTCATGTTTTGGAATTCTCAAATATTTTTACTCCTATTTCGGGAATTTTCCCTAAAATATATATACTTTAATTTACACTTTTTAAGGAAATATAGGTTAATTAGTGCTTTGAAAATAGAGATTGTGCAGGGTTAGAACTTGACTATTTGGATGGTAGATATTCTATTTTATCATGTTTGTATCCACAGCAGGCGCTTCAACGAGGACTGGTCATAGAGAAGAATTTCACTCAGGGTGTTGGTTTTTAAAGATTCCGATGATGGTGGTCCTCATTGTCGTTTCATTTCTTCTTCCGATTAATATGATCTATATCTATGGTAAACTCGATCACTCATTCAGTCATTCTAGCTATATATATAAGCACACACTTATTTATTTGGCAACATTTTGACTTTTGTACTAATTATATTCATTATATTGTTTGAAAATACATTATTAGTTTATATTATTATTAGACTGTATAGAATATAGATAACATATTTACGCAAGTGGTTTGTTTTATAATTAGATTCTTTTTTTCTTTAAAAAAAAGAATGGGGTAGGCATTATTGTGGCACGTGATTATGTTGAGGATGTGGTAGAAGTCTTCAGGAAGAACGATCGCATCATGAGCATTAAATTGGTGATGAGGGGTGAGATTGTGTCTGTGGTAAGTGCCTATGCATCACAAGTGGGATTGGATGCATCTACAACTCAACAGTTCTGGGAAGATCTTGAAGATGTGGTGCGACGAGTGCCAAGAGGAGAGAAGTTGGTCATAGGAGGCGACCTCAACGGGCATGTGGGCTCGATTCGTGATGGCTTTGAGAGTATTCATGGCGGACATGGTTTTGGCACTAGAAATGAAGCGGGAAAGAACATTTTGGATTTTGCCTCAACGTATGAGTTGGCTATAATGAACACTTGGTTTAGGAAAAGAGACTCTCACCTTGTAACCTATAGAAGTGGAGCTAATAGTACCCAAATTGACTACTTCTTAGTACGTACTACTTGGAGAACTAGCTACACCGATTGTAAGGTTATCCCAGGTGAGAGTGTTGTCACTCAGCATAGGATGCTTGTGCTCGACTTTCGAGGTAAGAACCATAGAAGACAAGTTAAGCAACAAGTGGAGCCAAAGATAAAGTGGTGGAGGCTTGAGGGGGATCTTCAACAAAGCTTTACACACAAAATGTTCGGTGAAGATGTATGGCGTATTGATAATGGAACACAGGTGGAGGATGCATGGTTATCGATGGAGCTGACCATTAACAAAGTGGCAAAGGAGGTACTTGGGGAATCTAAAGGATGTTTGCCACCCAAAAAGGACACGTCTTGGTGGAATGATGAGGTGAAACAAGCCATAAGGAACAAAAGAGATTGCTACAAAAAGTTGGGAATAAGTCGGAGTGATGAGAACATAGAAGCTTACAAGGAGGCTAGAAGACAAGCAAAGAAAGCCGTAAAAGAAGCACAAGGGAAAGTGAACAAGGAGTTGTATGAAAAATTGGACTCTAAGGAAGGAGAACAAGAGATCTATAGACTTGCTCGTCTTCGTGATCGCAGGACTCAAGATATCGGAAAAGTTAAGTGTGTGAAGGATGTTGATCAAAGGATATTAATGGAGGACGGAGAGATAAAAGAGAGGTGGAGATCATACTTTGATACATTGTTCAACGGGAACAAAGTGCAAGATATCGATGATTTGACCATACCAGATTGTATGGTAAATCGTGATTTTGTGAGAAGGATCCAACCAACGGAAGTTAAAGAGGCTTTGAGGAAGATGGGGCGGAAGAAAGCAGTGGGTCCAGATGGCATACCGATCGAGGCTTGGAGAAGTTTGGGAGAGAGAGGCATTGGGTGGTTAACAAATTTCTTCAACAAAATTTGGAGAAACAACAAGATGCCAACGAGTTGGAGAAAGAGTACTCTTATTCCCTTATTTAAGAATAAAGGTGATGTACAAGAATGTGCCAACTATCGGGGGATTAAACTTATGAGTCATACCATGAAACTTTGGGAGCGATTGATTGAGCAAAGACTTCGAAGAACGGTGAAGATCTCAGAGAATCAATTTGGTTTTATGCCTGGTCGCTCAACAACTGAGGCTATTCACCTTCTTCGGCAACTTATGGAGAAGTATAGAGACGCTCACAAGGATTTGCATTTAGTGTTCATTGACCTAGAAAAGGCATATGATAGGGTACCTCGAGAAGTTCTTTGGTGGGCCTTAACTAGAAAAGGCATTTCACGCAAGTATATCAGCATCATCATGGATATGTATGAGGATTGTACTACAAGTGTTCGTACTAGTGTAGGGAGGACTGCGGAGTTCCCTATTACTATCGGAGTGCACCAAGGATCGGCTCTTAGCCCTTTTTTATTTGCCATAGTCATGGATGAACTTACAAAGTCAATTCAAGACGATATACCGTGGTGCATGATGTTTGCCGACGATATTGTATTGATTGATGAGACGCAATCAGGGGTTAAAGCAAAGTTGGAAGTATGGCGACAGACATTGGAGAACAAGGGTTTCAGACTAAGTAGGAGCAAGACAGAGTACATGGAGTGCAAGTTTGGTGGAGGTAGAAGCAGTGGTAATAGCGGAATTACTTTAGATGGTAAGGAGATACCAGTCAGCGATATGTTCCGTTATTTGGGCTCCATAATTCAGAAGGACGGTGAGTTAGATGGAGATGTATCCCATAGAATCAGAACAGGGTGGATGAAGTGGAAGAGTGCATCAGGATTTCTATGCGATCGAGGTATGCCGACTAGACTGAAGGGTAAATTTTATAAGACAGCAATTAGGCCGGCATTATTGTATGGCACGGAGTGTTGGGCGGTGAAACAATGTCACATTCAAAAGATGAGTGTGGCAGAGATGCGCATGCTGCGTTGGATGTGTGGGCATACTAGAAAGGACCGCGTGAGGAATGAGACAATTAGACAAAGGGTGGGAGTAGCACCTATTGAAGATAAGATGCGGGAGTCACGCCTACGGTGGTTTGGTCATGTGCATAGAAGACCGAGTGATGCACCTGTCAGACGAGTTGAGATGTGTGGAGAAGAGGTAGGGAAGAGAGGGAGAGGAAGGCCCAAACAGACGTGGGTTAGGGGAGTCAGAAGTGATATGCTTCTTCTTGGATTGGATGAGGGTATGGCTTTGGAGAGAGCAAAATGGAGGGCGGGTATTCGTGTTGAGGAGTGATCTTGTATCATCTTTTTTTTTCTTCTTCTTCTTCTTTTTTTTTCCTTTTCTTTTATATCTTTATTCTTATATATAAATATTACCTTATCCTTTTTATTTGATCTTTTATATGTATATTCATCTCTTTTATATTATCTTTTTTTTTTATAATAGCTTATCTTTTTTATCTTTAGTTTCTTTCTTTTCCTTTTGGTGATAATGTGATATCATATATCGATTCATGTTAGCCGACCTCAATATCATTTGGGACTAAGGCTTGGATGTTGTTGTTGTTGTTGTTTTCTTTAAAAACAATAATATGGTGTAGTACTGAGTATATAAACTTCCTTAGTTCTTTTTAAATTAGACTTGCGTCTTTTCAAGCTTGTAATGATAAAAAATGATGATACTCCATCCTTGTCCCTTTAGGGCCTCTTTATTTGAGAATATGTAACTTAAGATTTGATTACACACTAAATGAAAGTCAATTATAACTGTATAACTGATTATAAGTTAAAACTCTAGAGTTTGCCCCTTTTTCCTTGTATTTTGTTATGTGTACTTTTGACACATTTTACGTAATTAGGTACAAAACTGTTTACATTATTGAATTTTTCTAAATTATCAATACACTAATTGTAAAAGTAGGAAGATTAATATACTCTCATTGTTGTAGTGTAATGCTTATCATTTCTATTTTAAGAAATAATTAGTTAGTACTCTTATATGAAAAATTAATCAATATATATAAAATAATACACCAACATCACAATTATCACTACAACATTTTAGATATATGCCTACGCCGGAAAACTGTTGCCTAATGGGAAAAAACCGTTGCCATTATTTTTAGCAACAGTTTTAAAACTGTGGTAATGTAAGGCGTTGCCTATACATTAGAGAACAGTTTTGATATTTAAGGGCAACACAATGGAAAAACCGTAGTCAAAGAGTATAGCTAAGAGAACAGTTTTTTAAAACATATAGGACAACAATTTTTATTTGTTTCTATCAATAGTAACCAAAACAAACTGTTGCCAAAAATATTCCAACCATTTTCTTCAAACATTGCTACAAAGCACCATACTACTAATTTGAAAGCCAATCTTTTAAAAATTGTTTATGAAATACTTTGCAATGGAGAAAATGTAGAATTTACTTCAATAATAATCTTTACAAATCACAGCTCAACAATATCATGCCTAGTTATCAACATCCATGATCTGTCTTTAAAGTGTAAATCATCACAATGGGAGTGTTTAAACACTGAACTTAAAATGAAAACAACAATGGAAATAAAACTTTATCAAATCACATTCAAGTGTCATTGTCTACATCTTCATCTTCACTTTCTTCATCAATGCCATCATCCATCTACATAAAAACATATATCAAAGCTTAACCCAAATTAATTATAAAGAATAAAATTATGAAGCAAATAAATAAGCTCAAATCAAAAGCATAGCATGTCTACATTAAAAACTACTCAATACTAAGACTACATATAAGCCCCGTGACATTTAGTACACCTCAATTGGTTAGTAAGATGTGCTACTAGAACTTTTTTTCCCAAGTTTGATTCTGGGCAAGTAGCAACTAACCTAAAGGGTAACCATGTTCAACACTTCAGCATGAGATGTTCTCAAATATCAGATAACCAATTTAACCTTTCAATTCATGGTTAGATCGCCCTCACGGAGTCACGGATTATTATTCATTTTTCTTTTTGAAATATCATATATCTTTGCACTTATTTTTCTTTTTGAAATATCATATAGCTTTGCACTTAGTCCAATAAAGAATCCAACGAAACAAGCAAAATGGAAGAACAAAATAATTAAACTGGCAATAAGAATACATGTTAACATGTTTACCTTAGGGGTAGTTCTATTTTACCTTGTTAGCACCTAAAATGAAAGTTACATAGGCAAATCTGGAATGCATATCAGCAAGTATGAGCAAATATCGTTTTTAAAGAGCAGGGGAAGAAGTGTATGCCTATTAATCGCTGAAGTACCCATAAAAGAATTTACCAGGCAAGACTTGACCCAAGTACCCATAATGGTTACCAGAGAACTGATTGTTGGGACCTTACAAGGATAATCATATCGGAAATTAAAGAACACAAACATAGTAAAATTT